GAAAAGAACATTGGAGATAATCTTTCAGGAGCAGAAATTCCTTATGAGGAGAGCTGGAATCTAGAAAACTTAACTCATCCTTTAGGAAAAAAAAAGCAAGGAGAAAGTCCAAATTAACTGTTTGCAGTCAAAAAGAAATGTTGCACAGTACAAGTTCCTGCCCTTCTGGTTTCTGATTTTTTTTGCCTCCTGTCCTCTGAGTGCTGCTAGAGGCCCCCCAAAGTACCAGGTGCTGCACCGTAGCCCATCCCCTTGCCCCATGCCCCAACCTGTTCCTCTGCATATTCTTGCTGTTGTGCCCTGGCCTTGCCTTCAAGCCTGCTGCCTTCTCACAAAGCTATTCTTCCGCTCACTGCCTCCTTTCTCCAGCCACCTCAAATTCCATGCTGCTGCCACTTCAGCTGCCTCTCACTTGCCTTCCAAACCCCTGTAAATATAAGGGTAGTTCCACTGCACATAAAGGCTCAGCATGAACATTTATAATTTCCACGCTGGCCTTTCACTGCAAACCATATGGGGCAGAAACTGTCTCTCAGCACTTGTGCCTCCGTATCATATACGACCCTGACACTTCTTGGAAGCCCCTGCTGATGCCACTCTGTAAATACCAATACCTGTTTTACAGGTAATGTGCTGGTTTTGTTCTTAATAAATCACTGTGCTAGTCTGGATACACTTCTGCCTGGGTCATTTCTGCTCAGGAGATCTGCTGCTCTTTGTCCAGTGCCAGGAGAGCTGGTTTCCATGGAGCACTGTTTTTCCTCCGTCTCACCAGGGAAAAATGGGAACCAGGGAAAAACAACCTGCAGTGACAGATGACAGTGTTGCCATCCCCAAAAGATTCACAAGGTCAAATTTCATTCTAAATGCTGAGTGAGACATCACACAACTGGAAACCAGAACAATCTGGTAGGTGCTCCCTGCTTACCTAAACTCTTCATCTACAAGTAGACTTGTACAGTGAGAGCTCTGAGGGGTTTTATTGCTGCTTCTCTGGCCAGAAGTTGATGGGTTTTGCAGTCAAGGCACATCGTGCAGTAGGCATTAGGACTGCTTAGCTGTCCCCTGCTGAATACAGAAGCGAGACAGCTGATATCAAGCTTCTTTCAGAACACAGCAAAGGTGACATTGCAGTGGATGCTAATATTAGTGGCAGCTTGGACAGGTTAAGGATTGCCACCTAATAACAGCACTCAATACAGATACATAGGTCCAAGTTCTTAAGAATCTGTAGCCATAGTCAGGAAACCAAAGAACTTGGTTTCCTGAAATATTGGTGCCTTTGTGAAGTCCCTAGTTGGGAAACTGAAATTGTCAGTTTGTAAACCTATTTGTCCAGTATCATGTCTTAAAGGGCTTTTTGCACGGTCATGGTAATCACAAAGAAAAGTTAGAGGAGATAATGCTCTTGAAGTAAAAACAAACAAACCAAAACCCTTGCTTCAACAAAACAAAAGCCTTCTTACCTCACAAATATCTGGGATAAACTTGACAGCTCCTTAAGCTCCTATGGAAACTGCACTGGCTCTCTTTTTTCTCTTCAGGTGTCTGTTTTCAAGTACCCTGGTCCCCAGCAGACAGTACAGGATGGAAGGGACAGCGTGTTTCAAAGGCTTTTGTAATAAGAGCCATCTGATTTGCCAAATTGCGTCAAAGGTCAAAGACTGTGTCAGTAGGAGCACAGCACAAAGTAAATGATCTCTTTACGCTCCCACTTGGACACGGGTCACTTAAGAAGGCAGCAGGGCTTTTCTCGTAGAAGCGGCCACCTCTGAGCAGCACAACGCAAGAGTGTTTTGAATCTATAGATGTATTTTTCCGTAAAGACGTCACCGCTGTTTCCCCAGGCCTCTTGAGCAGCCCAGGGGCAGCAGCTGCAGGCACAGCTCGGCAATGCTCCGCAATGGAGCTTCCACCTGCCGACAGCTAAAGGAGGCCGTAGCCAGGTGGGGGTCGGCCTCTTCTCCCAGGATGAGAGGACACGGTCTTAAGCTGCGCCAGGGGAGGTTTAGGTTGGACATTAGGAAGAATTTCTTCTCAGGAAGGGTGAGGAGACATTGGAATGGGCTGCCCAGGGAGGTGGTGGAGTCACCACCCTCGGAGGTGTTTAGGGAAAGACTGGACGTGGCACTTGGTGCCATGGTCTGGTTGACACGGTGGTGTGAGGTGATAATCTGGACTTGATCTCAGAGGTCTTTTCCAACCTAACTGACTCCGTGATTCTGTGCGACCGGGCGCTGCGCAGGCACACCGCCACCAGCCCGACGCCTCCGCCTCGGCCAAGGCCATTCGCGCCTCCTCCCCCCGCCGCAGCCCCTCTCCCGCCTGAGGGGGAGGCCGGAGCCCCGCTGGAGGGGCGGGGCGGGGGCGGTGGAGGAGGCTCGGCCGCCGGGGCCGCCGCCGCTGGGGCCGATTGGCGGGGCCGGTTGGGCGGGCGGGGCCGGGGCGCAGCCGGCGGCGGCAGCGGGGCAGCGCTCGCAGCCTCGGCCGGGGAGGCGCCGCTCTCGCACCGCTGGGGCGCTGCCGCCGGTGCCCGGGCGCGGGAGGAGGTAAGAGCTGCCGCTCCCCGGGCCGGGCCCGGCCGGCCCCCGGGGCAGCGCCGGGGCTGGGGGTGAGCGAGGGGAGGGCGCCGCGGGGAGCAGGGCGGGATCCGCGGCGCGGAAGCCTCTCCCTGCGGCTGCTGGGCGGGAAGGGCCGCGGCAGGGCCGCCGCTGTTCCCCCGGGGCTGGCACGGCACGGAGAGGGGCTGGGAATGGCAGGGAGCGGGGCTGGGAATGGCAGGGAGCGGGGGCTTGAACGGCGCTGCCCGACGAGCCGCACAGCTTTTGTCACGATGCACAGAATAAACCCGGTTCTGTGATTAGTAAACTAGTCATTCGTGATTAGTATATTGCAGCGGAGTCGTCTTTAAATTGGTGCTGTATGTGTGCAGTTCGCTGTCGAGGCCGGGGGGGCGAGATTAGGTTGTCACCGATTTAAAAAAACAAAAAAAACAAAAAAAAACAGCAAACCAACCCTCTGTTTTAAGTCGAGCTTAACATAACAGTTAACGTACCCTTCGGTCCTGCCTGCATCCGTGGGGTTTGGAAGGCACGCGAGGCAAGTGCACTTGGAGTTGTACATTCCTTTTCACATACGTCGGATCCCCCGGGGCAGCAGGCATGCCTTCGCTTTCTTCCGGGCTTCCTTTTTTTCCCCCCTTTTCTTCTGGCAGCCTGGAAAATTTCCATCTGCCGAGCAGCAGCCAGCCTGTAAAAAGGGGCACCACGCATGTCGAACTACAGTTTTAATCGCTCACTGCCTTAAGCATTCTATTTCCCTTCCTGCCTGCAGGAACTGTTTCTCTGAGTTAAATGCGTACAGGTGAACAAGATCAGATGGAGAGCCTCAAAGCAGATTTCCATCTAGAACTGTCTATCTTGCACTTTGGCTTTAGCAGCAGTGCCCCCCTCCCTTTTCAATACCTCAGTTCGTGTTTGCAGACATACCAGCTAGCAAAGCACAGACTGTTGTATGTCCAGCTAAAAGCAACACTGTTTACATAACAGAAACTGAAGAGCAGGTTCCTGCTCCTGACTTGCAGAGACGCTTGAAAACCAAAACTGTCGTCAGCATTTATTTTTGGCTGGAATAAGAGGCCTTCTGAGAGTTGAATTTGATAGGGAACAAATGCATTAATTAGCTTGTGAATTTGGACTGATCCTCTGATTCGTGCTGTGGATACAGGGGAATCTAAATATAAGTAGCATTTCATGTTCTCAAACTGACAGAAGTGAAAACGAGTGTGGGTTTTGTTAATTGGCAGGCTTTCAATTTGCTCGTGCTGTGTTTCACAGAAGGAAGTTAACGTGCTGTTGTTACGATTCAAGGATAACAGGAAAGAAAAAGCAGTTTTTAAATACCTGTAAGTAGACTGAAATAAGGGTGTGATATTGCCATCACCCTGCAGTAAAATGGAAAATCTTAAAATTCCAAGTGGTTCCACATTTAACTGATGCAACAACAGTGATTTCCAGAACATTCAGCCTTTTATCAAATCAGGAGTTAACTTTTAAGTGCTAAGTAAAGAAACCTTTCCTCTTTCCATGCAGAAATTGCATGAAAGGTAAACCAAGAGCATCTAAAGCAACATGCTTTGAGCTGTGAACAAGTTTAATGAATACCTCCCAAAAGCTATGTCAGTGCCATTTTCTACTAAAGCAACCACTTACTAAGTTACCTTCAACTGCATGTTTTTTACAAGCACACGGATTTTGTGTAGCTATTTAAAAACACAGATCAAAAAAATATTTGGGATCTACAGATACACTTGTGACAGGCTTGGGGAAAGTACCAGAGCCAGGCATGCCAGCCCAGAATTACAATGTCTCTGGGGTACACGTGTTGCTCTTTGCTGCTAGATTATGTCAGACTACTCTGGTGCCTTTTTTTTTTTTTTTTTGCATTCACCATAAGCCTGGATATTTTTAGTTCCTGGATATTTTTATTCACTCATAATTTTGCTCTCAGCAAACTTTAAGCAATTAAGTTAGAAATCCCTCACTTAAAATTTTGCATGATTAGTTACAGTGATCTGATGGTCCAGTTCAAATTACTCTGGTGCAACAACATGTAGTTACCACAAACTGCATCCCAGAGTTTCACTGAGTTAGCTATTTCTCTACAAAAGGTCAAATAAGCCAATCTTGAACATTTTTCAGCATACTAGATGAGTCATCACTAGTGAAGTTTTGTCTGTGCTGAGCCGGGGGGAATGTTTTAATTTATCTGGACTGCAAAAGAGATCTGAGAAGCCAGTAGAAGATCTTGCTTGCCTATGTTAGCCAAAGGAATCCATTTCAGGGTTCAGGCCAGACAGAACAGCAAATAGCTACATGGGATTTGTTTGAGGAGGAAGGTTGTGAGTGCAATTATGGATGTGCAAGGATACACTCTTAGTGGTCATTCTTAGCGCAAAAAAAATCGCAATTAACTTTGCAGGTTTGTGTTGAAAAGTATTGTTGAAGACCTCCAGAAACGTGACAGAACTGAATATCCTGTGCAGATGAAAAACCGCTTTAAAATCTAAGCAAATACATTTCTTCCCCCTTTTCCCCGGGGAGCCACAGTGCGGATGTTTGGAAAGCATGTATGATAAGCTCATTTTTCACAACCTTATCTCATATTTTCAAGTACTCATATTTTAGTAAAGTCATTATCACTCTCATTTGCTCCGTCACAACCACATCTCATATTTTCACATACTGATATTTTAGTAAAGTCATTATCACTCTCATTTGCTCCATCATAACCACCCTAACCATTGAAAATTGGGGATGTCATTTTGCAGGTGGCCAGCAGGAATGCCTTACCTTGTTCTGCCTGCAGCACTTGGGTTAAATGTGGGCTGCTGAGTGTAGGATAGTTTGTCAGTGAGTCACGCAGACCGCCCTGGACTTGCTTCCAGGCAGAGCTGCGCTTGGCATGATTAGCAGGCTCTGAGGGTGACGTTGTTTCCTAAATGATGTAACTGAAAATTCCTCTTTCCCGCGCTTCTTGTTTCCTGATCAGTTTCCTCATTGTTCTCCAAGACATTCCAGCAGCTGCAGTATCTTTTGCTCCTGATCTTTTTTTCCTGAGAATCTCTGTGAAGACAAGTTATGTCAACAGCTACTTTAATTAATTTGGTACGAAATGGAGGGTATCAAGTAAGAAGGAGAGCCGTGCTCACATCCCGCCTCTTGCAAGACGAGAAACGCCCAACGGGCGCCTGCTACGTCTCCAGCTCTGAGCGCCATGTTTCCCGCTTCGATCCGGACGGGAGCGGGCGGCCGACCACATGGGACACCTTTGGCATCTGGGACAATCGCATTGATGAGCCTATTCTCCTCCCACCAAGCATAAAGTATGGGAAGCCGATTCCTAAAGTGAGCCTGACCAACGTGGGCTGCGCGAGCCACATCGGGAAGCGCAAGGAGAATGAAGACCGGTTCGATTATTCTCAGCTGACGGAGGATATCCTGTACTTTGCAGTATACGATGGACATGGTGGGGCAGCAGCAGCTGACTTCTGTGATAAGTACATGGAAAAATATATTAAGTAAGTGCACATCAAGGGAATGTGTGTCAAATAAATTTCAGCAGAGATTCCTTCCTTAGGACTGAGAGAGAATCGGAGGGTTTTACCTTGTTAATCTTCCTAGATTATGTAGCCACCTGTCCTAACGGGACAGCAGGAGCATCAGGTGGAACAGACGTGCTATGAACTACTTATTCTGTGTGGTGCCTGCCCTATGGAGCAAGCCCACAAAGACAAGAGAAAAACACAATTGTACTCACCATCCAGGAAATGACTGGGAACACAGGGAGAGTGTGAATTGACTGTTTTCACATAAGGTCACTCTGATTGCTGGTCACTCAGTTTGCTTACACTCTTTTCTCTCTATCCCATTCCTGGATGTTGGAAGAGGAACTTACATATTTGCAGAATTACAAGATTATGCTTCCAGTGCAGGTCATTAGTAAAACCATGTTACCTTTTCACTGAAATGCAGCACTATTCAATGTGTGCAAGGAGGAGATAGGAGTATGAAGCAGATTGATCAAAATGTGTATTTCTTGGAGAGAAGTTTAGTTTTTTGTTTGCTTGTTTGTTTCCAGGGAATTTCTTGCTGAGGAGGAGAACTTGGAGAATGTTTTGAGCAAAGCTTTTCTAGAAATAAACAAAGCCTATGAAAGGCATGCTAATCTCTCTGCTGATGGTAGGTAAAAAGATATTCTACTCATATGGGTGCGGACAATAAAGTATGTCTTATTTGCTCAGTAGTATTGCAGTAAAATGTCCAGAAAAGTGCTTGAAAACAGTTTTACTTAACACAGGATTTAGCTCTGATCACTTAACTGCAAATGAAACAATTATGGTTTACCTCCTTAAAATGAAATAGCTACCGAAAGTCTCAATCAAATTTACTGTGGGAGTAACGAATCTGAACGTTAGCATAATCGTTAGTGAATTTCTCTTAATGTGATTCTGTCAAGGACAGTGTTTGTCAAGGTAGCAAAGAGCAATTTAGATTTGCAAGGACCATAATTTTATTGTGCAAGAAACGTGGAGGGGGGGTTGGTTTTGTTTGGGTTTTTTGTGTGTGGGAGAAGTGGTGTTTTTATATGTTTGTTTGTTTGTTTGTTTTGAAGCTGTTATTCCTATGGTTTAAAAGCAGCAGTGTCAAAGTTCCCCTTTCTAACTTGGCTGCTGCACCTGAGGAGGAACATAAGCCACAATTAATGCAATTGATATTGCTTCTGCATAAACAGAATCACAGGAGTAGCTGAGTGTGAAAGGGAAAAAAGCAGTGAAGAGGAAAACAAGTTTGGCTGTGGTAAGGCTGTGGTAAAGCTGGCACCAGCCCTTTTAGACTCCATAATCCTGGCTGTTAATGAAGTTCTTGTGTATGTGTCTAGAGACTAAGTACATCTGAAGTTCCAGTTCCAGCAACTGGAGCTTACAGAGAGTAACTTGGGAAGGGAGATAGAGGTGCCTGTCCCAGTTCTGTCACAGGAGTTTTCTTGGCCATAAGTAAAATTTTGAGAGTCAGTTTAGCCAATCTTAAAAAAACCCCAAGAAACAAAAGGCCAATTAAAAAAAAAAAAAAACACCAACAAACCACAACAATGAAAAGACCCCAATCATCAAACCCACCTTCCCCACCCCAAACAAACAAAAAACCTGTCCCAGTGCTGGTGCAGGCTCTGGAAAAATGACTGAGGTTGTTCCAGAATGGAAACTGTAGAAGTCTTCTTTCCAAGAAAGACTGGAAACCAACAAGCCCTCTAAGGACTGAAGTGATACTGTATTCTCAAGCTGCTTTTCTTAAGCAGGGAATGACTACAATCAAGTAATGGAATGGTTTCCTGCACTTTAACTGCTAGATGAATCTAGGTAGACTCAAATTATTTCCTGGCAGGACAGGTAGCCTGACTGTTGCAGCACTGTGAGGGATACATACCTTTCCTCTTCCTTGGTACAGGCTAAGGTATCAGGAAAAAATTCTTCAGTCCTGAAATGCAGCCCTTAAAGGTATTAAATCTATAAATTTCATTTTCCCATTGTATTTCAGTGGTAAAAAAGTCAAGAGTCACTTTTGACCTATGGGGTGAGTTTTAACTGAGCTCATGAGAGACTCGTCAGTAGAGCAGACGTGCTTTTTATCCTAGAGCTTCCTTGCAAGTATGTTTTCTTAAAAGCCCAAATCCAAGACAGCATTTGAATGCTAGTTTATGTGCTTTCCTGGATCAGAACCTCAAATTTTCATTAACATGACGATCTATTCATCCCCCTCCCTGCTCCCCTGTGAGTAGGACAGCTCTTGGTTCGGCTCATTGCAGTAACCTCTGTTAAGTGTCAGAGTGGCTCCTTGAGGAGAAGGATTGTTTTTGATATACTGTGAAGAACTGTGTTTGATATACTATTCTGTTATTCTGAAAATGGTTTCCAATTAGAATATTTTGTACCTGAGATTTACAGAACTGGATTAGAGCAATATTTCATAGACAAGTTGTGCAGCAAGCTGAGCATTTTAGAACTGCTTGTAGGATTTTTTTTCATATCATTTAACTAACTGGTGCTGCCTAATGCCAGCAAACTTATGCAATGGTTATCAGGATACTGGACAAGACCTCTTAATTAAAAAAGCTTGAGGTCGAGCAAAATAGAAGGTAAAAGTGTTGTCAGACATCCACAGGGGCCACACTCTGGCAGGCACTCAGTGTTTCTCAGGTAGGCTGAGCACCTGCAAGCTCTTGAAGGAGCCTGTGGGATCTAAGTGCCCAGTGCTCTTGGCTGAAAATCAAGCTCTAAGGCAAAGAATGGAGTAACAGGGTACGGATTTATGAACGGATTAAAGTTGTTGCATATCTGTTGCTAAAATAATTCAATACCATGTTTTGACTGCTTTGTGTGGATATTTTTGTTGTTGCTCATGTTTTGAAAGTTACATAAAATTTCAGTGCTTGGCATTTGTCTGTTAGAAGCCTAATTCCAAACTGATTCAGTTTACCAGCAAAATGTCTGATTAATTGTGGCTATTCTAGATGTGACAGTCCAGACAGTTGCTAGAATATCTTGAAGATGGTGGCTGGTTGTGTAATGGTGTGTCTGGGATACGGTGGATGCTCCTCAAGACTGATCTCCTTTAGAAACCTGGCCACAGCTGATGAAGTGGGGAATGATAGCTTAGTCTTGTTCCAGTAAATGGCCCTTCCAGGGCTCGTTCCTTTCACTGTATCTGCAAAAAAAAAAAAAAAATAAATAACAGTGCATGTTGAGGATGTCCAGGTCTGCTAACACACAGCCAAATTTGACCTGGGTGTGTACCTGGGTGTTTGAAGGAACCTAAGTCCTGGGACAAACCCCTGTAGCCAAGATTGCGTGTTTAAGGCACTGTTTGTATTTTCTATTTAAGGGGTAAAAACCTTACATAATGGCACAAATTTAACAGAACTAGAGATGTGCCTTGTTGGAGCCCCTAGCTATGTCTACAAGAGCATGGCCCTTTGTAGGTCACTTTACAATTATAAACTACTGGAAATTACAGATGGAAAATACATAGCATAATAGTTACTGTGAGCTTTCAGTAATCAAAAAAAAGGTGCTTGCTACTGTGTTTGGCATGCAGTTCACTAGTGCTGTTGGAGGGTTGTGCTGGCCTGCTGGAGACTGTCACTCTGACAGTGATCTGTACCTGTTGCTTCACACAAAAGCATAAGAAACTTGCTGTAGGCATGTCTGGAATAATCTGTCCTCTGCCTAAATCCTGTCTAATCATTAACAGCTTGGAGATACGCCTGAGCCCTGGAGCTTGGTGGTTGGTATCTCTTAAAAAATGCATTTTCATTCCCTTCCACGCATTTAAATATATCCAGTCACTTTCAAGTCACAGCTAAACTTAGGTATAGGGCACAGCAAAGGAAGCTCACATCCAACCAATGTCATTATCCATGGGACAACTGCCTCAGATGGGCAGAATTTTTGGATATATTTGACCAGCCATAAAAACTGAAAATGTAAAGGCTGAATAGCTTTACTCAGCAAGGACTGAAATAAGAATGTGAATTGTGTGCTTGAGGGAATTGGAGCATTTCCCTGGAGAAATGTAAGATAAACCCTCTCCCGGCTCAGTGCAGTCACACAAGGTATTGTTACTGATCCTGTTCACTGTGAGCCACTGCTCAGAGAAAACTACAGGTGGTCTGTCCATCGACCTCCACGGTCAGTGCATCCAGCTCTAACCACAGTGACCACTCACTTCTGGAATAGCCATCTTATTAAAACATAGCCCAGGTATTAAATGGTGTATCTATGTTTGAAAGGCACCTCTTGAACATTTTTATGCTGAGCAAACAGCAAAAGTTATTTAAAAATAATTAAATTTTAAAAGTAGTGGGGTTTGGGTTCGTTGTTTTTTTTCAAGTTGCCATTCAAAAAATGATTTTTATTTCTTTACATATGTTAACCTGCAACACTGAGGAAAAGAGAGAGCTGCAGAAATTGTACTTAAGTATCTCCTAAATCCATCAACATTGCAAAGGAAGCCTTTTAATCCAAGGACCCTGATTATAACCTAATCAAGTTAGAAGCTACTAATTACAATATTAAAGGGGTGTTAATTTTGCATATTTCCCATGGGTCAGAACAATTCACAATTCAGTGCCTTTAAGATGGCCCCATTTCAGTTGGTACTAGCTTGGACTCCCCATATTGGTGTTATATATATATATATATATAAAAATAAATAAATTGAGGAAACAGATTTGGCCATATTCTGTACTAAAGATGTTCTTCAAAGTGGCCACTCTTGCCATATATGAGGCAGCTGGCCCTCTAGCATTGATAAAATTCTTTGGTTGATTTGTTGGTTGATTATTTATCTCCACGGGGGGGGGAAAATGTAGGTTTTATTTTGGCTGAATTTAAAGTGGTTTTGTCACACAGTTATAGAAAGAGGGTGAGAACAGTGGCAATTCCCCAGAAACACCGAGGCTGATTTATCTGTGGCCAGAGGTGCACATGCAAGCCTGAAGTGCTTCCCATCTGACCTGCACAGGCAGTGCAGGCAAACGTGAGAGTGATACTTCCCCTGTTCTGCAGCCCTTACTCTTTCATCTCCAGTGTTGCAGGTTTATTTTGTTTGAACAAAGTCCCTGGGTGAATTTCCTATTTGCCTCTGTGTGCGTGTTATTTGTGGCAGACACTGTACCTGGTCAGCAGCTCTAGAACTGGAGGCCCTGGACATGTGCTGGGCTTCAGTGGAAAGAGAGATCTGCTTAATTTTGTCCCAGGTGAAGGAGTCCAGCTCCTGGACTACTGGAAGGTTCCCACATCCTCTTTGTCACATTAGTTGAGATGACTTGCAGTAAAAGTTGTCCAGTGAGTGTTAAGAACCTATTGAAAGATCTTAGTTTTATAGTGATATTGTTAGGAAAACAAAATAAACTCTTTAATTGTTAAAAGCCAATACATATGCTGATGCAACATATTTTGTATTGTTAAATAAACTAGCAGCAGTTGTCGTAAAGCATTAGAAATGTTTTCCCATCATCATTCCTGTGGGTTGGAGTTGTGCTAGAAATCACATAATGCTGTATCCATGTTCTTGCATCCCTACCCAGATCATGAACTGGTTCCAAGAAGAGATCATGAGCAGCATTTGTGTTTTTCTAGAAGTGCTATTTAACTAATAAACTATCAAGTCACTATGTCCATTATTACCACAATTCTGGAAAACATCTTGACTTGTTCTTTAATACCATCGCTTGATTTTGTGATAGCAGCTCTTTTCTTTGGGTGTTTGCACTCAAAAGATGCAGATTCACCCAAATGTCCAAATGTTCTCAGTCTTCTATGAATTAAAGGCTACGGATCTTTACTTTTACAGAAATATCTTGTGTTTCTCAGCATAGTCCCAAAACCACAGAATGAAATGGGAAAGTAGCAGCAATTCTGCATTAATTTTAATGTCTAAGGAAAATGTATTTTCTGTAAAAAAAAAAAAAAGAAGGTAGTTTTATGTAGGTTCTTTATTTCACTTCTTTTAACTGTTGACTAAAACAGGTATTTTACTGGCTCCACTTAAATTCCTAATCACACTGGTACTTGTTAGCATCCCACTTTCGTAGTGTGCCTCAAAGTGAGGCTGCACCAGACTAGTCCTTGCTTCAAATTAGAAACAAGATGTCAGTGTTTGCCTGAGCAGTCCAAAGCTGCCGGCGTCTAGTTTGGAATATCACAGCCTGCATGGCAGCCGTGACATAGTCCACGGTTTGACTTGGCCAATGTTCACGATGGACGTGCTGGTTCAGTGTACAGCTAAACCAAGTCCCTGCTGCAGTAATAATACCTGTTTTAAATAATAACACAAGCTTAGTTAACACTGTTTTGTGAGGGTGTTTTTCCTTTTGATCCATCAACTCGCTGATTTCACTGCACAACAAGGCTCAATGCACCTTTCAGGGCTTTGTGCGCTTCAATTTACTCCCAGCTCTGTTTTACTTACGGGGTGTTGAGGCCTCATAGGGTTGGGAAAAGAGGTTGTCAAGACCCCAGAGCAGCTGCATTCCTGTTGCTGTTTGCTGGCAGCTGGTTAGAGATGGGGCTGGCTGGCATTCCTTGGGATCAAACATGCAGTCCTGTCTCAGATCTGTCTCCATTCCCTGGAGTCAGGCCTGCAGGGCCAGACAGTTGTAGCTGAGCTCTGCAGAAGCAGTGATAGAAAGATATTTAACTGTTAGTGACATGAAAACAGGAATATAACTGGGGATTTACATTCCTAAGTAAGCCCAAAACTCACCTCGAATTGGCTTGCTTTGAAAAACTGGAACAACTGGAAAAGCCCAGAATGCAGGTGACCCACAGAGGGCCTTTCAAGGGGATTTGGCTGTGAATGCAAATGTTTTCCAGGCAATAGCTTGTCCTGGCCAGACATTTTACTGTAATAGCTCAAGTCAGCAGGAGTAGCTGCTTTCCAGGCAACTCTCGCTGGGTTACCTTTGCAGAATTTGCAGGAAGGGAAGGTACTAACTGTAAAATGGGACTACTCCTTTCAAAAAAGCAAAGAAAAAAAGGAAAGCTTTTTCTTCACTGCAGATAAAACTACAGATCTTTTCTAAAATATGCAGACTCACATTTCTTCTTTTCAAGCACTTCTATTAATTCCTGAGCGTTGTAGAAATCTAAATGAAAAGCCCTTAAATTTACTTGCCCAAGTTAATCCAAGGTCCCTGAGTGCAGTCAGCCAGCTCAGCTCACTGTAGGAGAAGGAGCATAGCACCCAGGGCTCTGTTTTGCCCTCTAGGCAGTCAGTCTACACCCTGTAAATGATCCCAGCAGTGCCCTGGGGCAGGTTGTCTGGGCAGCCACTGCCACCTGACTGCATCAGTTTGCAGGCACGAGGCAAGGCAGAATCCCAGAATCCAGCTTCACCTTTTCACCTCCAGCAAATTGGCAGGATCTGAAGGGAGTAGCGTTCCCCCCTGAAAAAGGTCAGTGGCCTGTTGGCTGAACCCTTCTTCCCTTGGCAAGGCTGGGAGAAGCAGAGAGGGAGTGTAACAGCTCTGACAGCAATGGGAAGGTGCCACAGACTGGGAAAGGAGGGATCTGTTGCTTTTCCTCTGGTGACCTACATGGAGCTACAATTACTATTACTCAATCGCCTGCTTCGCCACCTATCAGAAGGGAAGAGCCATCACCTTTGTGGTGAGCTACCTGTGCAGTCACTGTGCCCAGGGATAAGGACAATATCAATGTAACTCGAGCTGAGCTAGTGGGACAGAAAAAACTGTTTGCTACAGGCTGAAAGGATGCCCATGTAACTTGCAGTGCTTTTATTCCACTTGCTCTGTTTGCAAGGAGCCATGTTGGTGCACAGAAATACTTATCCTTTCCACTTCCTCTCTCTTTCCCAGTCCTACATGCATGCATGTTTGCTCTTTTTTTTTTTGTTTAATGTGTAGATTTAGTTTAAACTTAGAAGCAATGACTTACTGGTTATGTAGAGCACATGTTGTCTTCATTTTACCAGTTGAAACTGTTTCTGCTATAAACAGTTCCACGCTTTGAGGCAGTGCTAAAACTTCTCTTTCATATGACATTTATAGCAACTCTGCTGAACTCTGGGACCACTGCAACAGTGGCTCTGCTCCGGGATGGCATTGAGCTGGTGGTGGCAAGTGTGGGAGACAGTCGTGCTCTGCTGTGCCGAAAGGGAAAGGCCATGAAACTCACCATTGACCATACTCCAGAAAGAAAGGAGGAGAAGGAAAGGTACCTGCTGGCTGATGATGGGGCTTCCCAGAGCACAGCCTCCAGTCAGGATGGGCTTGTGTTCTGCTGCTGGGTTGGGCCAGGAAGAAAGTAGAGAGTTGAACATGGTGCTCTGAGGCCACCTCTGAGCTGGCAGTAAACAGCACAGCTCCAGTTAACTCATTGGGTTCCATTTAGAGGACTGTGGATGTGGAAAGCCCTCCACGAGCATAAACTGTCTCAGCAGTAAGATCAGCATAACTAAGATTCAGTACAGAGCCATGACTACGTTGTTCAGACTTGTCCAAGACTGCCAAGTTAGAACCAAGACCTGAAGAAATGCACTGTGATTCCCAGGTCAGGCAGGACTCATCCCACCAAGACACATCCCTTCCATGGAACCTTCTAACAGCTAAAGCCAACCCTCAGTCTCCCAGCTTAGACGCTCCATACCTCATTCCCCATTGTAGCTAGGGACAGAAATTGTGATAGAGAGGGCGGTAATGGTGTGAAGCACTAACTCGTGTTCACTTCTCCTTTTGTGCCTCTGGACAGGATTAAGAAGTGCGGTGGCTTCGTTTCCTGGAACAGTCTGGGACGACCTCACGTGAATGGTAGACTTGCAATGACGCGGAGCATAGGAGATTTGGATCTTAAAAGCAGTGGTGTGATAGCCCAGCCAGAAACAAAAAGGGTTCAGGTAAAAGAAGGTCTGGTTAGCAGGGACAGCAACATTCGGACTAAGGGGCATCATAGGTATTTGATGCAGGTGGCAGCACCCACGTGACATGAGCCCAGGTGAAGCCTGATGGCCACGTTGTTTTTTACTAAAGTAACCAGAGAGCAATTCTAATTAAGTTGTTTCAGATTAACACTAAAAGGACAGAAAAGAATCTGGTACTAGATTCAACCAGATCAACTTCTAAAACCCATTTCTCACAGAAAAATACATGATAAGGGAAGAAAGATAACATATGATATCTATTACTGAAATAATTAGTCTGTTTGGGTCTTGTGGTCAAATGAATAACTTTGAGGTGAACGCTGGTATAGAACCATCACTGAGAACCAGGTGGGATATGGATGGGCCACCATCAAAAAAAGTAGAATAGGTAAAGGTTTGCACAGTTGAGAGGAAAGGGGGAGGAGGAAAGGGCAGCTGGACACATTTTACCATAGCTCTGTAGTTGTGTGGAATACAAATTAACCACCCAGAAGGTATTCAGCACAGTTGCCTTCACTTTGGCAGGAAGGCTCTCCTTTCAGCTCACATTCTGTTTGTTACTTTTTTCCAATGCACCTCCCAGGGCCCCGGGAACTTACATTCAATTGGCCCTAATAAAAATGCCACCCACTAGGCCTGAGGGGTTTAGGGAGGTGACTGCAGTGCTATGATGTCTCCCTTGAAATCCTGGCTTTCAGAAAGAATTTTGCTTACTGGATAACGTATCTGGTCTTTTGTAATAGATCTGGTCTTTTGGCTTCCTAGAACTGGAAGCACCTTAAGACACTCTCCTCCAGTACAGGGAACATAGTCTGTGTGACCCATGGATGTACCTGAGGATTCAAGGTGCAGCCTTTGGCTAGCCAAGAATTGGGGTTCCAATTAGTCCTTGCACAGAAAGCAGGAGAGCAGGCAGTACCCCTGAAAAAAGTGCTTTGCAACAGAGTGTAACAACATGAAGGCAGTTAATCTGCCTTGCAGCACTCACCCCTTTGTTGTGCATTCTGTGTGCCTTTATTGCAGTTGCATCACGCAGACGACAGCTTTCTGGTCCTTACCACAGATGGGATTAACTTCATAGTGAACAGCCAGGAGATCTGCGACTCCATAAGCCAGTGCCATGATCCTGCTGAAGCTGCCCACGTTGTCACTGAGCAGGTAATGCCAGGGCTTCTCTGGGCACCATGTGCTTGTTGGGTTTTTTTGGTTTGTTTTGGTTTAAAAAAAAACCAAGCATACAACCATACATCCAAGTGAATTGGACTTTTTTCCTTACCCTGGGTCTCGCCACCTCCTTGCCAGGCATCAGTTCAATTAACTTGCTTAGCTCACAGTCCACTGTAACTGCAGCTTGTTCCGGTGCTGAACATATCATCGGCAAAGGCAGAAATGGCCGGCGTCTCACCACGGTTCTGGATGGTGGCATATCCTGTGGAAAATTCTGGAGCATACCAGAGTGGAGCATCAGGGCTGACACTGTGTTTCTCCTCTCAGGCAGTGCAGTTTGGCACTGAAGACAACTGCACAGTTATCATAGTGCCCTTTGGAGCTTGGGGCAAGTACAAGAACGGCGAGGTCAGCTTCTCCTTCAGCCGCAGCTTCGCTTCCAGCGGGAGGTGGGCCTGAAGATCTGCCACAGCCATCTTTCCCTGCCATCATCTGGACACAAGGAGAACATATCCATCTGTTCATAGGCTGACTCAGTGTCTTGTCCATCTCTTCTGTTCCCAGTGTTTAGAAGGTGCCACTGCTCCCTTGGTGCGTAACGCCCCGTTGTTGCTTACGGCTGACTCTGTTCTGCTGCCTGCCTTTATTCCAGTTGGCACTGAGGCAGCCGTTTGGGATTGTAGTCCCAGCAGCTCTGCACATCACTTTGTTCACATAGACGAGGCTCTGGGCTTTCACCTGAGGCTGCTGGAGGGGTTGCACAGTTGTTCCATACCTACCTGTATTCCCCAGGACCCTTAGTGACGTGGCAGCTCTGTAAGTCTGAGCCACATGCTGGCTCCCTTGTACGTTAATACGTGGGGGAACAAACGCACAATGTTGTTGGGTAGACAGAAAGAGGGCTTGTTGTCTTCCTCTGCTGCAGCCACCCAAAACTCCCCTGTGCTTCAGGAGAAGTGGGTGAAAAATAAGGCAGAAGTTTCAGAAGTGTTTAGGTTCTGATGCCAGTGGCATTCAGTGTAGCTGTACAACTTCTGAGACAGTGCTGCTTTGCAGGGCTTTATGCTCTCACCGCCATCATCCATGATCCTCTAGCTCCAAGGAGACAGACTAGGCTGGAGCCACGTGCTGTTGGACAGATGGGAACCTTTCTCCATTGGGTCCAAAGCCTGTACAGTCTCTGTGGACCATGCAGCAGTCTCCTGCACTGTCTTCTTTTTGCTGTGTCAGTGCTTCACAGGAGCACAAAAGAGGGAAAAAGACACACAGTTTTGATACCCAGAGACTCTCAGCAACTTGAATTTTTCTTTTTTTTTTTTTTAAATAAAGAAAATAAGCTAATTTCAAAGAGTTTACTCTTCAAGATTTGATGTGTAAGACAGTTTATTTCTTCATAAATACATGAAGATTTTCGTGCCCTCTGCTGAAGTTGTCTGAGTAAGCTGTGATCTCCCTTGTCTCTTTATGGTATATAGGGAGATGTAAAATGTCCCAAGCAGGCTAGAGAAAGGAGAGAGCGTAACTTAAGGTAATTTTTGTAAGTTTTGGGTATTGTTTCTAGGAGGTGTCAGATATTCAGACACTACAAGATAGTTTTATACTTGAAGGAAGTGTTTCCACTTCTCTTGTTGGGGGGAGTCTGTGTCCAGCGAGGCATGGGGGGACCAGAGCTCTGAGCCAGCTCATTTCGCTGCTGTGACATGGACTGCATGTTGGCAGCAGGTGAAGATCTGTCCCAGCATGTCTTGTTGTCTTGTTCAGACCACCTCCTTCCTTCTTTTCACATCAGGTGTGCAGGTCCTGTGGCCTCCAGGTCACCCTGTTGCAATGAAATATGGGCAGAGAAAAATTGGTCTTTTTTCAGGCTTGCTGCAGTATTTCTCATTCTACAGATGTTTCCATCTGCACAATTGTAAAATCAAGAGGCAAAAGATACTAAGTCACCTTGCAAAAAAAATTTCTGAGGTGCCTGCCCTGATCTTCATTTTACAGTGTGAAGCACTTATCTTCATTACTTTTATCCCTTTCCTTTTAATCCAGGGTTACTTAGTCACATAGGCAGTCATTCCACACATTTTTCCTTGCCTCTGGTTGAAGACCTTGCAGCACCCAGCAGAGCACCATGTTGTACTGACATCATTAGGTACTCGGTGTTTGGAGTGTGCTGGTTTTGTCCCATCACTTGGTGTGTTACATGGTGTGTATAATGTATATATTCAGTTATAAGCACAGAGGGCTTGTGAGTCTGTGTGTATAAATCTCTGTTGTACGGTGCCCAGGCCTCTGTAATGAGTAGTCCACTGCTGTACAATCATAATTCCTTCTTTGTCCTCAGATTTTCCCCAGGGCTGTGGTTTGGTGTTTGCCTGGGGTCAGAATGGTTGCTGACCCTGGGCTCAGCCTGGCTTACCTGAGGCTGGGACGGCACTTTTAGTTGGGACCAGCAAGAGCAGGTTCTCAGTCTGCAGCAAGTTTGAAAATTCCCACAACCCATTTGTGGCAAAAATAGCAAAACACAGCCTCTCCCAAGCACTTGAGGAGACATTGCACCTGACAGGTTCAGAGAGCTGCTCTGGTTTGTGCTGCAGCAGGAACACCTGACAGTCTTCCTCCTGCCAAAGTGTCCTGCTAAAACAGCAAGTCTGGTAGTTCCTAGCAAAGGGTTAACCACAGCCAGCAGCAGTTACTCCAGGCACAGGGAAGGGTTGGAGTCAGTCTCTGGAGAGGGAGTTGTTGTGGGGGTGGCTTTGCTATCAAATGTCGGACCCACTTGAGGGGCACTGCAGGGCTTTGGACAAGCTCCATAGACACTGTCCTGTTCTAAATGCTGCTCCTTTCAGTTTGGGCAGCTAGCCATCTATCCAGACAGGAGATACCAAGGGCTTGGGGGTGTTCGTGACAAGTAAACACAGGTTTAATTTTTTTTATGAGCAGTGCTGGGTACTTGCCAAGCTGAATACGTGGTATTAAATGCAGACTGCTAATGAAAAACACTGCAAACGAGGAGCAGGTGCTCTGAGGAGTGACCTGGCAGCTAAAACAGCTTCTAAACATTGACCCAGATGTAACATGAAGTGAGAGTTTTCCTTCTCACTGGAGATTTCTGGGGCTTTTTTTTTTTTCTTTGCTTTATCCCTGTGTGGTTGTCTGATTGCATAGAGAATAAAAGCAGTTGGGGGCTTTTATTCCTCCTAATAGAGTGGCTGTCCTCTCAGAAGAGGGTCCATCCATAACTTCTTTTGAATTTTATAAAGGGATAAGGCAAATTCTGTGAAATAGATGATTAGATAAAGATGTATTGGTGGTTGCTATTACTGCTTTTGTACAATCACAGAAACACTTAGATTGGGAAGGACTCCTGGGCATTATCTCCCCTCCTGTCTTTACCAGTCCATTATTTTGGGTGGCCCCTTAACAGCTCTGTTCCCTCTCAGGTCACATACACGGGCTCCCAGCTCACTACCATCCCACTTCCTCATGCTCCCCTGGTCACGTGGGAAGAGCCAGGGTGCACCATGCAGTATGTGCCTGGGGCAGGAGAGGACTGGGGCACCCCTGATAGCCAAGGGGCCCATAGGGATGAGGAGGTAGAGAAATCAGCTTCAAAGTTTTGGACCCAAGAAGACACTGTCTCCATAGCTGGTGTATCCGTACCCAGGCAGCCCATTGCTGCCAAGCTGTTACGATGCTGGGACACGTCGAATCGCTGTCCTCCACATGGCCTGTGTGCACAGGACATCCTCTGGATCTTTGGAGACCTCATCTTCCTGCAGATCACTGTAGATGGCTCCCAGCACTGCTGATTCTCTCAGGTAATGGATGCCTTCATCTCTGTCAGTCCCCTCTGCAGGGGAGCTCACAAGACCATCCTCACACTTGGGAAGAGCCATCTCCAGGGACTGCAAATTGCTGCCTCTTTTCCAATTCCTCTCTCAATTCCCCAGTTCCTAGGAAGGGATTCCAGCTGTTGGGCTTCCTTACTTTCCAGTTGCTCACTGTCAGTCCTGTTATCCCAGCCAACTATTGGATGAGCCAGGCAGCAATCTGCTCACCTGGAGTCCTGCAATCTTCCCACATGTCTCAAAGCTCCGATGGGGTCAGTGACAGGGTAGTTTCTGCTTCTTGTCTGAATTCACTCACTCCTTCCTCCAATTTATTTGTTGGAGGACCGGCATCTTGATCAAACCTTTCCCCTTCTTCCTCCTTCCTTCCTAATTGATGATACGGACCTGCTTTTTTCCTTGACCACAGTTTCTTTTGCACTCCTGGGGCAATTCCTGTAGTTGCTGCTGTTGTTTGGGTCCTGCCTCAACCACAGCCCCCTGAGAGCACTGAACTGTGGCTCCATAGGCACAGGCCAGGCCCCAGTACAGGGTGAGGGGCTGCTGGTTTTCACTGGGGTAAGGCCAGGCGCCCTTCCATCAGGTGACACATCAGTTTTCCAGGGTTGCTTGCCTATTCAGGTGCAAAGTCCCAGGCTATGGGAGGTGATATCTGTCTTAGGAACCTGCCCAAATCCTTCCCCACACCCTGCCACCCAGGGAATGCCACCTCAGGGCGCATTTCAGTATTGCCTCACCCAAACCCTTCTCTTACACCAAGATGACACCGGATTCCACCAACCCACAACACACCACCACTGTTGGTTAGTACTGTTCACAGCTCACGTAGGCGTGAACAAGAACCTCTGGAACCTGCACAGTCATCCACATCAGTCCCAAGTAGGGAGAGGGAGATGAATTCCCTCATCCTCTTACGGAGATGAGACAGCTCCCACGGAACAGCAAGGCCATCAATGCCAGGGACAAAGCCCAGAGCCATTGTTTGTACTAATGTGTTCCCAAGTTCAGCAAAATAAAGAGGTAAGCAGTGCAGCCAACACACTCCATGACTACTCACACAGGAGCTTCCCACTTAGTAACTGCTGTAGCTGTAGCACACTGGAAACAAAGCTGCCCTTGTCTCGTGCCTCACATCGGTGCCAAAAAGGACCGTGGAGAGTTGACCTTGTCTGGACATCAGGAGCCCACCAAGCTGCTCTATCAGTCCCCTTCTCAGCAGGATAGGGTGGGGGGAGGAAATAAAAAGGAAAAAAACCCACATTGGCCAAGACCAAAGGTATTTTAATAAAGTGGATTAAATAAAGATTTAGTCTTAGTGTCTGGCCACTTCCTGGGATGTAGGGCTTTAAGTGCACTGTGGTTGCTCTAGAAGACAAATGTAACAGCAAATGCTGTTGTCCCCCTCCTCCTAACTTTTTTTGCAGAGCAGAGTGAGGGGGGAACGTTGGACAGACAGTGCTGATGCTGTGGGAGCATCGCTCTGCAGCAGCCAAAACACTGGTGTGTCACCTACTGTGTACCCCCTTTGTAGGTACCAATGCCCAGCCCAGCATCGTGGGGCTGCTGTGGGGAATGAGCTCCATCTCAGCCAGACCCTGTGCACACTTCTAGGTTTTCTTCTATCTGGTCACTAAGCCTCCTGCTGCCTGTAGCAGCTCTGCAAGCAACCAGCTGTACACTCCAGGGACCAGCAAAATGCTCCTGCACAGCAGAGAACTCCTTTCAGCTTGAGGACAAAGAGCAAATTGTCCTCACAACAGCAGCTGCCTGTCAGAGAGGTTTATTATTCCAGGGTATTGCAGGATCTCACACTTTGAATGAAAAGAAATGGAAACTGTTTGCTCTGTAGCTCACTGTCTTTCTCATGCATCTGATATTTCAACAAAAAGAATATTTTTTATTGCAGACTGAATCAAAGTTTAAGGGTGACCTACTGAGCAGACCGTAACAAGGGTTTGCTTTTCCCCTGCCTTTTAGGGAATGGATTCCAAAGCCCAATGGATCTGATAAGAGTATTCTTTTGCCTGAACACTCCCCCTGAAGCAGGGCAATCTCTCACTGTACAGGCGCTGCAGGGGGGGGAGTTGTGGGTGCAGAAAGGCAAAAAATGCTGTCCAGCTGGGTACTCGTTTTTACTGTAAGGATATGGAAGGCAAGGGGGGAACCTCACGTTGCTGGAGGACTAACTAGGATTGGTGTTCACACAGCAGCTGAACAGAAACAGCAGGTGTTCAGAAAACAGCTTAGTCACTGCCACCTGGAAAGGAGGGGTTTGTGCTTTATAGAGGGAACTCGCAAAAATGTCATTTGGAGCCTTGATTTAGGAGATCTGATCTCTCTGGGTGCTGAACACAGTGCAAGAGACTAAAATGGGGATGAGATCCAGTAGTTAATTTAATATGGGCCTTCATTGCAGTCAGTCCCTTTGGACCAAAATGCTCAGGGCTGGAGAATAATGATGGAGCACAGCTTGTGCTTGAGAATTGGGGTGTGGAGCAAAAATCAATATCACTGCTTTTTACATACTTGGGGGAAATAAAAATTATGAGGAGCTTAGACTCACCACAGGATTTCTGCTGACTTCGACAGGATCAGGGTATCAGGCCCCATTTTCTGTCTCAGCAGGTGGATGTGCTGTGGTCAAAGGCATTGGGATTTCTACCTAAGGGAGAAGCACAAAACAACAGATACCAGTGAAACTTGATTTTTTCTTGAACAACAGTCAGTTGGGCACTGCTAGGTCATTGGTCACTCACCCAACAAGCTGAATGTATGGTACAGCAGCACTCTGGGTATTCCTTGGTTCTGAAGCTGCTGCTCTGCATGCAGAGATATCCATCGGGACCCAGGACATCGAGTGCTTGGGCAGTGGTGTGTGTCATAACTTTGTACAGACTCAAGTGCAATTGCATACATTCATTGCATAGTTTGCCTTAGGACTGTGTGTAATTCCTGTGGTTTGATGTTTATCTTTGATGTAATCATTGTCCAAATTTCATCTGCTACTATGTTTTATAGAGCTGTCCATTTTCCCTTTTCTTTTTTCTTTAAAAATATTTGTTCATTTTCATCAACTCAAAGCTACAGCGGAGGAGATAAGTCTGTACTGGAATGCTTACAAGATCTTGTAATAAAGAGAATTTGCTTCTACGAGTTGTGTCACTACAAATGGATTTTTCTATTTCCCCTGCACTGCAAACTACCAGAAAAGTTTCATCTTCTCAAGCTGTGTCATGACCGTCCTGTTAAGCCCCCGGCCTCAGTCCCTGCCATAAAAAGCATGTGACAACCAAAGCTTTGCCTACAAAGACATTCTCCCAGTGATAACCAGTGCAAAGTACCTTCTGTCTCTGGGCTCTGCCGCATCAGGGCGACATGTTCTAACTTGCTATTTTTGTCTGCCTGGGCGGCTGTCACAGTGAGCAATGTCATCCTGTGACACAGCACAAAGAAACAAATTGGGCCTTCTCAGGAAAAGAATGTATTTTTGCTTCCGCGTGAATCAAGACTTTTCTGTTGCACTTTAAGAAAATAAGAGCCAAGGGTTTTTACCTTATCCGCAGAAGTAGCCCTGAGATCACTAGTATTTTTAATTAGTATAGATTTTTCCAGCTGGGCTCAAACCTATTTTATGCTCTCTCCCTTGAAATAAGCAGCCTTGACTTCACTGAAGTCTTAGCAGCTTCCTATAGTTGAGCCCCAGCCCTCCCTTTCAGGACCAAAGTGAGTCTTTTTTTTCACTGAGCTAATCTCAGGGTCTTTTTTGTTATCCTTTGTGGCCAATCCACATCTCAGCTCAGTTTGGAGCTGATCAGCTCTTAGATACATGCACATATCCTGTGGTGGTATCATTGGGAAACCCGCTGGGCAGCTCTGCCCTTCCACAGCAGTTGGGAAATGGATCCCAGCTTACTCTGCAGTCGGAGCATTTGTCCTGTAACGAGCATCCCTGTGACCTGCTGCTTTGTCTGCAGGAGAGGAGAGTGGCTGGATTCCAGCAGCACCATGGTGGTTCCCCACCCAGCTTCATCAAGATGGTCTGGGGAGAGTAGCCAAGCCTTAAGAGCGGCAGTCTTTGCTGTCACACGGTAGAAGCTGGCCCCTAGGAAGGGCTGGAAGCTCTTCCCGGAGCTTGTGTCAACACCACCCCCTCGCAGCTCACCTGCACGGGGCGGGGGTCGTGGCTGATGGCACAGAGCTTTCCTCACTGCTGTTGGGCAAGAGCCTTGCCACACACATCCCCCATACCTCAGTATTTACAGCAGAAACTTACTCTTGCCCAGAGGTTGTCTCTGCTCTCGCACAGTTCTGCCCAGCAGAGCAGAGCAGGTGGTAGAGGCTGCAGATGCTGCAGTGGCACTGGGACTGGGGAGGGAGCTGCCCCTGCTACTGGGAGGAGGTGCTGGCGGATCAGCCAAAGGCCCAGCTGGATTTGGGCTACCACTGGCCCTCAGCAGCCTGGGTTTACCTTTTACTTATTTAACGTGGGCGTTACTTTTTTTTTTTTTTGTCATTCCCCTCCATGACTTCACAGCTTTCCCTATTTGTTCCCACTTCAAAAAAAACTTGTCACATCTCCTGCTGGCCTGCCCACCTCACAGCATGGAGGCCCTCGGCTGGGGCAGCGTGCCAGGGGCTGTGGCACACTCTCGAGCAGGCATGATTGTATTTAGGTTCATCAGTGGCCACGTTCAAGTTTTGGTCCTGTTTCTTGCCCTTTTTTGGGGCCAGCCACACACTATGCACTGTCACTCAATTCCCTCAGGAACAGGGCAGGATTTGGCTCCCAGCACATCACTCCCACTTCTGTTCTTGCATACCCCATCCTCCCTGCATGGTGTGGCACACTGACCTCACCAGCGAATCAAATCCACATCCTGACGTGGAGATAGACGTGTCCCACTGCCAGTAATTCTTTAAAAACACAAATGCATTTTCTATAGCACAGAACACTTGAGCTTAGAAAAGCAGCTCCAGACCTCACCTTTCTGAATTGTCAGCGTTATTGCAACTGTCATGAAAATCAATTTGGTCACAGCAAATTGGCCACAAATTGGGTTTTACCTGCTAAATTGAAGGTCTGGCCTGGGCAGTGCTTCTGCCTGGTGGGAGCTGTGGTAGAGCCAGTTAAAGGCTGGTGCACTAACCATGAGCTGCCCATCACTCACCCACTGCCTTGTTTCACTCCAAAACTGGCTGCTGGCCCAGCTGACACCTGTTGGGATTTTACAGTTCCAACATCAACATTAGAGTTGTCACAAATTCCCAGAGCACCTTCTCCCAGACCCAGGTTTAGGGCAGGAAGCTCCCAAAAGGCTATGGCTTTCCTTTTGTTTGGACACAAAGGAGCCAAATTAACTCTCCCAACACCTGATTTGCAACTGGGACTCCAAGCTGCACTATCTTAATGTTGACACTGAATTCTGTGCTCCACAAGGCAGGGGTGGGACTGCACTTTCCCAGTCAAAATGTCCATCAGGACTGTGGTTCCTGCCCTATGCTTATTCCTGGCACCTCCACCCTCCACCATGCCTTGGGGGTGCCAGTGCTTCCCATGCTTTGGCCACGCCACTCAGTCTATGGTTTCACAACCCGTTCGGGAAACAAAAAGGGCAATTTTTTTGTTGTTTCACCAAGGCAGGCTCTCCAGAGGCCTGTGGAAGGGAGGTTTCGAACACGCCACAGGCTGGCAGAGGCAGAGAGGAGTAGGTGCAGAGGTCCACATTGGGGTGCAGAGGGCAAGGACTGCAAAACTACCTCATGGGGCTGGATCACCTTCCCACAGCGGAGCCATGCCCTCCATCACATGACAAACTGTGGAGAGGAGGCACTGCCATGCACTCTGCAGGCAGGATGGGACACTGACGGCAAGTTCTCTGCGTCATTCAAAAGGCTGCACCAAGTTAAGCCCATGTTAAGTGCTTTAACATGGCACAGGCCAAAGAAGGTGGTCAAATCATTTTTTCCCAGGGAAAATAAAGTTGAAATACTCTGTATGCTAAATGATCAGGCTGCACAGCCCAGCCTGGAGCTACTGTTAGTAAGGGTATCTCTCCCCAAAAAGAGTGGGAGGTGATGCCAGACCCCACAACCCACAGTCAGCATGGTTACCTGGCTCAGAATGCTTCGGTGGGGTTCATCCATGACCTGCTCCATGACAGCAGAATGCTGGGCTGCAGCTGTCAGCGTCTGCAGCCACGCTGAGAATCACAGTAACTCCCCATAACTGTTAGAGAGAAAGTATTTTTTTCAGTGTATGGAAAGACTGAAAATGTGGAAATGCCTTGAACCTATGAAAAGGGGAC